TATTTGTAAGTGAACAATGGAAATTATTGGTTTATATCTTAAAAAATACACACACTTTTATTTATATAAATTAGACTGGAAGGACAATTGGATCAAAATGCATTTCTAATTCATCTGCTAAATGATTATCTTTGCTTAACACTTTAATATAAACTCTACTGTATATTCATTACAAGTAGACACTATATAACATAGGGAAATATGGTGATCAGTCAGAAAATGACCCACCAAGATTTTTACTTTTTTGACTTGACCTCGAAACATTGAGAAATGCAAAAAAATGTAAGGGTTTCTTCTGCATGTATGTATATTTGTGTTTGGAGGGCACAATTTTGTTCACCCTCTTTGAAGCTTAATAACTCCTATGCTTTTTATTGAAAAATTTCTGAAATTTTGCATGGAGTTTTGTGTATTAGGGAGATTGGTGATCTTAAATTTTGGTGGTTCAAGGGCGACAAAGTGGAGATATAAAGGGAGTTGTGTCATATCTCAAGTAGGGTTTGACTTAAATGAGTAAAATCATCATTAAGTGTTTTATAAAATTTATTCCTACCTTCAAAATTAAGCTTTTTACCATTTTATAATACCGTATTTTGACGAGTATAAGTCGCTGTCAAGTATAAGACGCACCCCTATTTTGAAACAAAAAATTTTGAAAAAATCTGTTTTAATGGGATTGTCTAAAGATGCATTTTATTCGTTTTTTTATTCAAGAATATGACGGATGGATGAATCGATATCTTTATTAAACTGAAATAATCATCATTTCTTAATGTAAACCAGAGGTCACGTGATGACAGTCAACAGAATATGACGGCGATGACTCATGTGTCGCTACTCTAATAATCTAGGTACTCTAGCCATTCGGTTGAGGGACCATCTGCTTAACGGACCCTTGCACAGGTTGGTCCCTAGAGTGGACCACTACTGTAGATAATTTCACTGTAAAAATGGTTACCTGTCGAGTATAAGATGCACCATGATTTTGAGCCCCAAAAAGTAGTAAAAAAAGTGTGACTTATACTCATCAAAATATAGTAATTAAAAATATAAAAAAAGTTTAATAAACTATCATAACAGATGGTTCCACACACAATTTTAAATGTCATTGGGAAAGTTAAACAACTCATTGCTGGATTTCCTTTATATGTTAAATTCTTTAATTGAAGTAATAAATCAAAAGTTGACAAATTATACAAATACTACTATTGATAAGAAGTTGTAATTATCCTGCATAAGATCTCCCATAACATTGGCTTTTACTTTGTAGTGTATTCAACTATTCAGGGATGCACAACCTTTTTTCAAGAAGGGCCAAATTAGAATTAAGTTTACTGACTGGGGGCCGGACCTCCAAGTGATTAATGCGATGGCTGAGATTGGATGCTGGCGGCAATCTTCTTGATGTCTGGCGTAATGGCAGATGTTGAAACAACCAGCAGATTTTCCAAATTCTTGTTGGTTAACCTGTTCCGTGTTTTGCACTTGTTTAAATTCATAAGCGAAAATGCTTGTTTCGCATACATAGGCCAAACATGCTTGCACAAAATCGAGCATTGTCTTTCAGTTTTGGAAATGATGTATCTGGCAGTTCTTTGTAGAATGTGAGGAGATTAGAATTTTTAAACTGTGATTTCAATTCATCACTGCACTGGATGTCTATCAACTCAAGTTGGACATCTGGAGGGGCATCTTCCACTTTCACATCAAATGGAGTTGAAAAAAGTTGCAGGTAGATCTTGTATTTCTGGAATTCACCAAACCTCTCATTGAATGATGTAAGGAGGGTGTTAACTTGGTCAGAGTAATCCATCTTCATATGTGGGTATTTCTCTTTCATGGCCTTGCAATGTGGAAAGTGTGTAAAGTTCTCTGATTGCATGTGGGACTTGAAAAGTGATAGTTTGGTCATAAATGCATTGATGTTACTTGTCAACTGAGAAACAAGTTGCATCTTTTCCTGCAATCTCAAATTAAGGTCGTTTAGATAAGAAGTAATGTCAGCAAGGAAAGCTAAATCACACTGCCATCTTTGTTCCTCCAAATTCCTTGTAGTGTTCCCCCGTTATTAGAGGAAAGTGATAATAGGCCCCAATAGCTCCACAAATCTCTTGAGGACTGCTGCCTTGCTCAGCCAACAAACTTCAGTATACGTGGGCAGGTCAGCATAATCAGCATCTATTTCTTCAAGAAATGATGTGAAGAGTCGATGGTTGAGTCCATGACGGCGGATTAAGTTCACAGTATCATAGACATCTTTCAGCAGACGTTCAAATCCCAGCTTCTTTGCACAAAGTTGCTGTTGGTGAATTATGCAATGATACTGGACTAACTCCTTTTGCCTGTCCCCAAGGTGGTTTTTCAGCAAGGTGACCATGCCATTCTCACATCCAACCATAGATGGTGCTCCATCGGTGGCAATGCTGGATAGCTTGTCAAAGTCCAGTGCTGATTTGTTGCAAACGCTCAATAAACTAGTAAATAAGTCAGCACCAGTTGTATGTCCAGAAAGTGATGCCATGCCAAGAAATTCTTCATTCACAATAAAATCTAGTGAAACACTTCTAATAAACACAATCACTTGTGCTGTTGATGATATGTCAGTGGATTCTTCCACAGCCAAAGAAAAATAAGCACAGTTTGCAACTAAAATATTAAGTTGGCCAGAAATGTCTGATGCAATTTGCGAGATTCTTTGTTGTATCGTCATGTGGTTAAGACTGATTGTTTGAAAACACTGTCTTCTCAGGACACATCTCACTTGCGATGATAAGACACTTTTTTATCATATCGCCATCTGTGAAAGGTTTCCCATTCTTGGCTATTAAAGCAGATATTTCTAGGCTGGCTTCAACAGCCGCATCCAATTCTCCAGATTGTTTCTTGAACACATTTTGTTGGCTGATTAGTGATCGTCGTAACGATTCGATTTTCCGTTTGCGTTCCGTACCTTGCAGAAGGAAATCCTTGTGTTGGCTTTCATGATGTCGCTTCAGGTTGAATTCTTTTGGCACTGCTATTGTTCCATTGCACAAAAGGCAAATAATGCTGTTGTTCTGTTGCACAAAACAGTACTTGTTAGTCCACACTTCCACTTCTTGAAACTGATGATTCTCGCGATTGACCTTGCGTTTAATGCCCGGCGCCATACTGTTCACTCTGCAAAACAATGTCTCGTTGTGCCGAAAATTCTGAGGCCCGCAATGAATCGTGTTTGAGATAAGGCAAGCTAGACTACCACGTGCTTTGTTCTGTATCCACTCTGACCAAAGACTAAAGAGGCGGGGACAGAAGACTATTACGCACACTTGACAAATGGCCAGGCAGGTCTTAATTCGTTTGACCCCTGTCCGGGCGTCTCCACCATTTCTCAGAATTTGTGAGTCAGATCGTCAACATGCCAGGTGCAGGACACTAATCCATCATAAATGTGGTTACCATTCTTACCTAAATTATATTTATGGCCCGTCAGTTTTACCCCCTGTTCAGAAATGAATCAAAAGTGATTAACACAGTGCAGTGGAAAATCTGAATATTTTAAATATAATTATTAAAATTGCGATATCTCGTTTCAAATTGGCGCTAGAATCAATCTGTTTTTTTCTGTCCTAAATATATCACAGTTTACGACTGTTAAATTTCAAATAAAATAAAAATTAAAAATAATAATTTAATTTTAAATTTACGAAAAAAAGAATGTAAAAATAAAAGTAAATAAAAAGTTCCAATTAATTTACTACTTAAATAACCTAAATATATCTGTTTTCTTTCAAACAAAAAAAACCGCAGCTTTCTAGCTACACGGAATCATTTTACAACCCTCTTTGTTGACAAGTTTATGGCTTGACGCGGTTTGTAATAATTATTAAATCCAAAATATTTTAATGCAAATGGCTTCCTTTTAGTCGTAATGACTCTATTCCAACTACAGTATTAATTTTCTTGGTCCAACTTAATAATAATAAATTTGATGTGGAAAATTTTTTTTCTATTCTTTGTCTATGGAGAGATATTGTTGTAAATTATTGGTTTTATAGCTTTTTGTACATTCCTTTTTGAACTCTGGTTAGTTTTTTTCTAGTTTGAATGACATTAGGTTGACGAATAAGCGTCTTTTCAGAAAAGATTGATTCAAATTCGACTATACCAATCAGAATCTAGAATGTAAACAAATGCTAAAAAATCGTTATTTTCATGGTTTTTCAGCGCTATTTTCACTTATTTTTGTTATTTGACGCTATTTAGACGAATAAGCAAGTTTTCCGAAGCATAAAATTGAAAATTTCCCGCCAAAATAGAAACTTCCTAATAACATCGGAAATGACGTTCTAACATCATTTTATTCTATTTGATTCTTCGAAAAATCGTTATAATACTATGTATTAAACTTAAAATATTCCATATCTAAACCAGAAAGTGTTAGCTAGAAATAGACTTATTTATAGAACAACCCCCCATTTCTCACCTCAGGGAAAGTCATAAAACAGTTGGGTGCTAATGACTTTGTGAAAGGGAAAAAGTTCTACACTTAGAAACTTGGAAAGAAGGGATTTGGCCTGTACCGTCCGCGGGCCGCATAAACATTGATAGGGGGCCGTATGTGGCCCGCGGGCCGCAGGTTGTGCACCCCTGAACTATTGAAGATAGGTTTACTGAATTCTTTCTTTAACTTTCATTCCTTCATCATTTTTATTATGTCTACATTAAATTGATTTGTTTGATTTAAGTTTTGATTTTATATTAAACTTTCTGTTTTAATTTAACTTATTATATTCTAGTTATCAATATACTTATAGATGATAACTGTATGTTATTGAAAGCACTCATACTTTTTACAAATTTTTGTGTTTTATAACTTCAAGTAAAGTACTTCAGTTCTTTTATTACTTTAATGTGAAGATTGTTTTTCTCTCATATTTTTTATAAGAACATTTAGTAATATTTATGCTAGATATTATTTAATAACATATATTATATTGCAACTGATATATTTATTGTAGGTCGTGGAGTTGCTCCATCTCATGAAATTACTGAAAGTCAACCTGGAACATCAGCATCAGCAGTACCAAGAAGTGCACAAGATGAAGTACACAGCATTGTGCCAACATCTATACGAACTGAAACTGGTATTGATACACTTTCAAAAGCAATGAAGCGACTTGGACTTGAATTAACTTATGATGATTCTTCTCATTTTGTGTATGCTAAAAGGCCCGGAATAGGTACATTAGGAAGGAAAATACCTTTAAAGGCTAATTATTTTCCAATTGAGTTACCTCACGGTGAAGTTTTTCATTATGATGTTGATATTTACACTATTAGAAAAGAAAGGACAGATGAAGGTGATAAGAAAAAAGATGTGAAAAAAAAAGACAAATGTTTAAATACCAGAAACAAAAGAAAAGTGGTGGAAGCTATGCTTAGAGCTATAGACATATTCAGAAATATTCGTCCTGCTTTTGATGGTGAAAAAAATCTCTATACTAGAAATAAATTGCCTATTGATAATGAGAAAACATTTAGCGTCAGTCTCACTGATGAAGATGGAAGATCTGACAGTTATGAAATTAAAATTCAACCTGTTAGTAAGAAAGGAACTGGATCTCTTGTTAAAAATTCAATTAGCCTTGAACCTTTACATCAGTTACTTGAGGGAAAATGTTTTATAATAAGTGAAGAAATAATTATGGGAATAATGGCCATAGAAACAATATTAAGGCATGGTCCAGCATTACGTTTAGTTCCTGTTGGTAGATCATTTTTTCAGAAACCAAGAGGAGAAGAAGTTCCTCCATTAAGTGGTGGAAGAGAAATATGGTTTGGACACCATCAAAGCATGAGAATTTCTCAATGGAAACCAATGTTGAATATTGATATGTCAGCAACTACATTTTATAAAAGTGGACCTGTTATTAATTATATGTTGGAAATCTTGTATCCCAAAGAAGAAAATAAGATGAATAAATTAAGACAAATCAAAATGCTAAATGATTATGAAAGAAAAATATTTGCAAAAGAGTTGAAAGGTTTACGTATTCAAGTTACTCATCTTAGTTATCCACGAAAGTATAGAGTTTCTGATGTCACACGGGAAAGTGCACACCATACAATTTTTTTCAGGGAAGAGAATGGGAAGAAAATTAAAACATCAGTAGCTCAATATTTTGAAATGGAATATAAGAAATTGCAATATCCTAATTTACCTTGTTTAGATGTAGGAACACAGAATAAAAAGATTTATTTACCTATGGAAGTTTGTGACATTGTAGAAGGTCAGCATTGCAAGAAAAAATTAACGGAAATTCAGACATCTGAAATGATTAAATGTACTGCTCGTCCACCTGCAGAGAGATTCAGGGATATTCAACACTCTCTGACTGATTGCATTAAAGATTTTCGCCCTTTTGAAAAGGAATTTGGCATTCGTATTAACTCGACGCCTATGCAGTTTGAAGGTCGAGTTTTAGCTCCACCTCATGTTTTATATAATGAACAGCAGAAAATTAAACCTTCTAATGGATCTTGGGATATGAAGGGAAAACAATTTTACACAGGTGTAAATATTGATAAATGGATGTTACTTAGTTTCTCAACAGCTCGTTGGTGCAATGAAGAAACTTTAGAAAATTTTGCTAAATTACTCTTTACTGGTGGGAGAAATGTTGGAATAAAATTTGCTCGGCCTGTTAAAATTGCATGCTTTAATCCACGGACTACAATTGCACGAAATATCATTAAAGAAGCACTGGATATAGAACCAAAGCTACAATTAGCAGTGATTGTACTTCCAACACAAGGGCCACAAAACATTTATACAGAAATAAAAAATGTAGCAGAGACTGAATTAGGACTTATGACACAGTGTGTTAAAGATAGCAATACTTCAGGTAGAAAGTGTAATCCTCAACTGATTTGTAATCTTTGCCAAAAAATAAATGCAAAGATGGGAGGAGTAAATAATTCTTTACTACCAAATGAAAAACCTCCTGTGCTCAAAAACCCTATTATAATTATTGGGGCTGACTGTACTCATCCAGCACCAGGAGATAAAGTGAAACCTTCTATTGCTGCAGTAGTTGGAAGTCTTGATGGATTTCCTAGCCGATACAAAGCTAGTGTTCGTGTACAACAAGCAAAGACAAAAGATGGGAAAGAGAATGAAACAAGACAGGAAATTATTATTGATTTAAAAGATATGGTAAAAGAATTGTTAAAATCATTTTATAAACATACTGGAGGGAAAAAACCAGAAAAAATAATTTTTTATAGAGATGGTGTAAGTGAAGGAGAATTTAGTAAAGTACTAAATGATGAATTAAAACAAGTAAAACAGGCATGTTTAGAACTTAATGAAGATTATAAACCACCCATTACTTTTATTATAGTTGGAAAACGCCATCATACTCGTTTTGCACCTTTGGATCGAAGAGATGGTGTAGGAAAACATGCCAATATACCACCAGGTACAACTGTTGATACAGATATTGTACATCCAATTGAATTTGATTTTTTTATGTGCAGCCATACTGGTATTCAAGGCACAAGCAGACCAGCACATTATACTGTTCTTTGGGATGACAATGAATTCAGTGCTGATGAATTACAAACCCTAACCTATTATCTTTGTCATACTTATGTTCGTTGTACCCGTAGCATATCTATTCCATGCCCAGTTATGTATGCACATTTAGCAGCCTATCGAGCAAAACAATATTTAATAGCTAAGACAGAAGAGATGAGTAGTTCAGGCAGTGAAACTTCTGGTCAGACAGAAGTCATTGTTCAGGAGAGTATTAGACAAGCTGTTAAAGTGGTGCAAGATATGCAAAATACCATGTATTTTGTATAAAAATAATGTGAGGACACATTTACATAGTTTTTCAAAAAAAAAAAAAAAAAAATCAGAAATTTCATGTATTTTAGATTTATAGTTGAGAAAAATAACACAAATAAGGGTATTTTTTGAACTAAGTGTCAAGTAAATAGTAAAGACAATAATAAATAAATTTTTATTTTATATTTATATAAAAAATTTTGTTAGAATTGAAAAAAATTCAATTTCTTACATTAAAATCACATATTATTTTATATTTTTTCTTTATTATTTTATCATTTTTACTGGTGTAGAATGTGTTAAATAAATAAATTCCATTCATCCTGAAGTTCCAATATTTGCAAATAATAATGCAAAATAAATATTTAAAATGAGATGATGAGATATATTGATTATATCTGTTTTATTGCTTAAAAATTGTGTACACTAGTTATAAAATGAAAAACAAATTTTAATTTTATTGTTATGAAAAATTAAACTGCAATTAATATTGATTTTGCTTGATTATATTTAACTGCCTTTTTATTGAAATATTTTATATTGAATAACTTATATAATTGTTCTTTGTAATGAATGAATTACTTTAATATATAAATGGCATGTTACTACAAGTGAATATGATGTCTGACAATACATGATGAACTTGTCTACATCTTTGCACAGTATTTTTAAATACGAAATATTTAAAGCTTGATAACTATTTATATATTCTCACAGTTCAACTAAGCTTTACATATTTTTAATCTCAGATTATAAATGAAGCTATGAAATACTAGTAAAGGAAAATGTATAAAATGCTATATTTAATATTAAAGCTGAACTGTTTCATTATAAATACTTTATATAAAAGTAAAACTGCAACAATAATAATTCTACATTTTATCATTTGTAATTTGTTAATATTTACTTTGCATGATAAGCTTTTAGCTAAAATATAAAGTTTCAAATATTACAAAATATGTAGTAAAGATTTTATGTAATGAAAACTATAGAATGTATTTTATATTAATAAAAAATGATCAAATCAGAAAAAAATACTTTAAAATTGGATAGTATTTCAAACATATTTAATAAATGAAGGTTATTAGTATTTTATACTCGCATGTTTTCTAATATCAATACTTCAAAAACATGATAAGTTCTTTTTTAATCTAAGGCTGGCATTTTCTGTGAATCTCTTGACTTGATGATTAGGATACTTTTCATTAATAATAAACAGTTTTTAATGTTTTACAGAGAATTGTTGAATATTTGAAATGATAATTAAATCAAAAATATAAGTGAACTCAAATTATTTTTTCTGGAATGAATTTTTACATACTTTTCAATTATAGATTCAACTCAGGAGTCAACTAGAGAAATAAAAGGGTGAAAAAAAGCAACAGAGTTTTACAGTTTCAAGTAATTTCTTAGTATTAGATGTAGTATTGAACTTTGATAAAAATCTGTCACGAGACCAAAGTAATTTTTTTCATTGTTGACATTATTATAAAAAATCAGAATATCAAGCTGAAACATTATCTCAAAGTAATGTCCTATGGTAGAAGTTGCATCAATTAGGAAGATTTCATATTTCAAATGCTAAAAGATTTGAATGCAAGTCACATTAAAAATTTCCATAAAAAAGAAGCATTTGTCAATTATTTTTAATGAAAAATTGACTGATTTGATTTATTAATTTTTAACAGTATAATGATTTTACATTTTTATGTTAAACAATTTGTTTTTAATATCTTCTATGGCTCTAGTTATGTAGAGAACAGTTCAACTTCTTCATAATTATTAGTAGAAATTTTAAATGGAAAAATAGAAACTGATACAAAATTTAATTTTGTAGCATTTTTAAACTATTCATTTCATTATTAACTATTTTATTAAATTTTATTGGATTACATTTACTAATTAAAATACAGTATAATAATAAATAAAAATTAAAAAACCTACAGATACATTCAAAAATATACTTTTGTTCATACAATCTAAAACTGAAATGAAACTTATAATACTATTGAGATGGGTTAATAATAACATCCATTCCAAACACTCAATGTACAAAACACATACACTGAAAAAATCAGCAAGTACACAGAACTTGCCCAGGAAATAAGGCATCTATGGAGGATGGATAGGGTGCTTAGTGTACCTGTTGTCCTCTCCTCTACAGGTGTCATACCACACACACTACACAAAAGTCTGGGAACATTACAGTTGAATAGAAAAACACATACTACAGAAGGCCACTATATTGAATACATGTCATATTGTTTGGAAATTCTTGAATATGGACACACACTGACAAACTTTAATTTTTGTCTTGTTTTTTAATGTATATTTTTTGTCAACTTGGACATTAATTATTAATAGGACAATTATACTTGTTTTTAAGTTTTTATGCAAGAATTGAGAAAAAGTTCTTAAAGAAAACAGACTTTCTTTATGAACTACCTGCTTAAAGAAAAGTCTGTTTTCTTTAAGAACTTTTTCTTCAATTCTTGTGTAAAAACTTAAAAATCAGTATAATTGTCCTATTAATAATTAATGTCCAAGCTGACAAAAAATATATATTAAGAAACTAAAGGATAGTAAGGCAATAATAATTTGTCTTGTTTTGGTTGCTATGCCTTGACTCTGGTCCAGCATAGTACACAATAATAGGTGTCCACTGAGTATAACTCACTAAACCCAACATAAAAATAAGTGCATAGCTAAACGGTTAGGAGTTGAAATTTGGTACACATGGTATGTCATGAGAATGTACTGTACATACACTAAGAAGGGATTTTTCGAAATTCCCCCCCCCCGGTGGAGAAGAGGGAAAGGGTTAAGATTTATATCATTTAAATCATATTTAACATTATAATTTTGAGTTCTGTAAGTGTTATTTTAAGATATAAAAGATGATACTTTTCTAGCAAAATAACTTTATTCAAAACTATATACAGTAGAACCTCGATTATCCGGACTAATTGGGGGTGAAGGTAGTCCGGATAAGGAAAAATCCGGATAATCGAAACAAATACTTTAATTTGCCTTTTAATGATAATGCAACATGTTTTCTTTTCGATGACATATCGGTAATATTAAAAGTAAATACTGTATTTAAATGGTGATCAAATTTTCAAGAAACAAACGTTCGTATTGAATTTGGACTACTACTGACCAACGCTAACGGACTACCTATTGTTTAAAAGGCCCTCTGGTGGCGCAAGAAGACGGATTTTATAAAATAAAAAGCAGTTGAAACTGCATTTTTATGAATAAAAATTTGACAAACTATTTATCGTTTTATGACGAGTAAAATTTTTTCGTTGCGTTCGCGGCTTTTAAGTAATGCATAAACCTTCGAGGCGCGAGGCCCTTCGGACCGCGAGGCATAGGCGGTGGCCCACGTCGTCCATGCCTTACGCCGCCCTTGGTCATAGAAATGATGTAATTTGAATATAAATTATTTATAAATACGTATGTCAAGTTATATTTTTATTACTACGTAAAATATATATAAGAGTTTACGACCACTGTGCTGGGTGAGACGTTGTTGAAACAAAAAAAGTTATGCATTCCATAACGTACATAAACAGTGTCCTAATTCGCCATGTGCAAATCAGCAAATTCGTAAAATTTTTGTTTATTTTGAACAATCCGGATAATGGAGGTTCTACTGTACTTCCAAAAAATTTTATAAAGATGATTTACAACATGATTAGAAAATGATAGTTTATTAAATCCATATAAAACATTTGTTAAGAAATTAACATTTTATAAAATGCCTATTAATTGATGAAAAGTTCAACATGATGAAATTTTTCAGAACTTTTTGTAAGATTAAGGTTGGGCACATCGGGCGCTGAAAATCCTTTCGGGATATTATGATGATGATATATTTATCATAATTTATAGTTTATCGGTCACATTGAGATGACAATACAGGTGAGCACTGAAAAATTCTCTATTTGGGTTTGGCATTAAAACGAAAGAAGAGGTGCTGTGTGCATGACGTTAATGTTAGTAGGAACAATTTAGAGGAGTTTCATCAGTTATTTGAAGATTTAGAGAAAAGATCTACGATATCCAAACATGAACATCTCAGATGTAAAAAAATTACGCCAAGTAAAAATTTATGACAATTTAGATCACTGTCAGAATTTTTCTTTGGTGCTTAAGGCAAAATTTAAGGTAAAATACACATAAAAATCGTGTGGGTAACGCTTCCAAGCACCAAGCATATCTTTACGGAAGAAAAACTGCTAAGAAAAATTTTGACCATCGTCTAAATTGTCATAAATTTTTACTTGGCATATTATTTTTTACATCTCAGATGTTTTTGTTTAATAATTGTATTATTATGTCAAGACTGCCTGCGCTCACTGACAGCCGACCAAATGCGCTGCCAATCGAACGCTTCCAATATTCATTTCGGTCGGTGGCCACCGATGCTTTCGATGCCGCGGCGTACCGTATTTCTCTAAACGGCGCGCTGTTTAGAAAAATCGCTATAAAAAGTTTTAATTGGCATAAATTTGAGCTTTTTAATTCTGAGTAACATTTTGAAAAAAAAAATTCATTTTTTCCATGAAATTTTATCTTTATAAGCATAAAATTAAGTCATAAAACTGAATTAGTTCTANAAGTTTTAATTGGCATAAATTTGAGCTTTTTAATTCTGAGTAACATTTTGAAAAAAAAAATTCATTTTTTCCATGAAATTTTATCTTTATAAGCATAAAATTAAGTCATAAAACTGAATTAGTTCTATGAAAAACCCCCATGAACTTTTTATTTAATACTCTCTGCCCTGTGGGCACAAAGAGGGCCTCTTATAGCAGGACCATTATGGGTTCGGCCAGGCCCACAATGGGCGACCGGGTGGTGAGGGACGTGGCCCGACATATCCGAACGGACCATCCCGAAAAGTTCCTGGGGATTCCTTGACCCGTCCGGATTCGATCCTGGAGCGGTAGGCTGCCACCTTGACCGCTCGGCCATCCGGCCGCATATTTAGGATTTAATTATTTCAGTCGAAGCGGTAGGCTGCCACCTTGACCGCTCGGCCATCCAGCCTATCCCCCGTGCACTTTGACCTATCGACCCGGAAGTTT